TACCTAAAGTTAATTTTTAAACGTTTAAATAATTAATAATTTATTCTAAAACTAATTGTTTTGTTTTAGAAAACAATCCAATCACTACATTCCTGATTTTAAAATGTGTTTACAGTATTGAAAGAACTATCCAGTGATATCTGATTCATCTGTAGAACATGATAGTATAGTACAGGAAGAATTACTTTCAATGTTGGTTAGAGACTAACCACTCTTCAGAAAGTAGCCACTCTTCATAACGATGTTATTTATAATAACAAAATAAGGAATTGAGACATGCTACATATAAATAGTGTTTCAATTATGATATTTGATGAGATACCAAACAGCCAATAACAGTGATGTCCCACGGTACATGGAAATAAACATGTAACATTATTAGTTTAAGTTAAATAGGATGTCACAAGATATATTAAATTTAATTACAAGAACATCCCCATAAAAATCAAGAGGAAGCCCTGAGTGGTTTAGCTTAGTGGTTAGAACGTCATGAGCCCTCAGATCAAAGGGTTGCAGGTTCAATCCCCCACCCGTCGGGTCATGTGGGAGGGAACCAGTAGATGTGTCTCTGTCACGTGGATCACGTGGATGTTTCTCTCTCTCTCTCTTTCTCTCTCTGTTTCTCTCCCTCCCTCTTTCCCTCCCTCCCTACCACTCTGTCTAAAAATCAATGGAAAAATATCGTTAGGTGAGGATTACCAAACAAACCAAAAAAAAAAAAAAGCAAGAGAACATTTTAATAGTGGTTCTATTTACATACTAATAATCATTCTTCTTATATAACTGATTATAGATTTTTCTTTTTTTCTCATTTTATATTGTATTTATAACTTTTAATAAACACAGTTTTTTTACAAGTGACATGTATACGGATATATTTTGTTCAAATTCCTATTTAACTCTTTTGCACTTTCGAATTGGATCGTTGGTTGCTTATTATTGATTTATATAAATTCTTTTTATATTCTCATAACCATTCTGTAACCACTTTAAGGAAATTACTTGCCCACCGATCCACAGCTTATGTTAAAAACTTAAGTTTTTATGACTCTATTTTTTCTGTTTTTCACTCTCCCATGCTTATTTCTCCTTTATTTCTCCGCAAGGGATCTTCATACCTCACCCCACTTCAAAACTCTTCACTGGGCTTTATGGAATCTGCTTAAAATAAACAAACGATTTTCTTTTCTAAGTCTGTCACTTTCTCTATAACACTTCTGAAAAGAGGTTGCTAATTCTCTCAACCATTACTGGTTCTATAGTTTTTATGAGAATCTATTGACTTTCCATCCAAGTCAACATTTCCACAGCCCCAAAGCAGAACCTCTTCTCATTTGAGGCTCACGGAATCTGAGTTCTCCTCTCCACCCTTATCCATTACTGTCACATAGCAAGCATTTCGTCAAGGCCTTGAAATTATCCTCAGGTTTTAAGGAGAATGTACAATACACTATACCGAGTTGCCTGACTTCTAACATCTAGTGAAACTTATCTACACGCCAGATGAGCTACTGCTAACCATCGCAGCCTATGGCATTTGACCATCCTCTGAAACTAATCTGTTCTAAATGAAACTCTCACATTCTCCTCTCTATGAAAACCTTCTCTCCCCATTCCCCCACATGCTTAATATTTTTGGATTATGCACATCACAATCATGTAACTACATTCTCATATATCCTCTGAGTTCCCTACTTTAAATTTATTTTATATCGCATTGCTTGCAGAATCATCTTTCTAAAATATAACTTGAGTGTGTAGTCTCTTATATCTACTGGATGAGCCTAATTCCTTTGCGAGGGACCAGACTCTCCACCATCTCAGACCTCGCCCATCTCTCCAAGCCTCACCTTTGTGCATAACGCTTAGTAATCATTTTGGAGTTTTGGTATCATGATCCTAACCTGCTCTTTTGCTGCTGAGACTATTTATATGAAGCTCACTTCACATTTAACAGCTAAATTCCTACTTCCTTTCCAAGATTTAGGTCAGGCATCATTTCTTCAAGGAAGTTTTCAATTCACTTTGAATTACCCACAGGATGGATTAAAGTGGCCTCTCCTCTAACACCCCTATAAGTGAATATTTATCCCACGATAATGTGTAATTTGCTTGTCTGTCTTGACCAATATTATCTAATTTATGAGAAATAAGAGAACTGTTCTGAGTTTTTAGCTCCATTAACTTTAATAAAAGACAATGAACAGAATAAAGGAGGAGATGCTAGAAAAACAGAAAGAAGCAAGCACTATAGATATTTTATATAAAAATAAGATACATTGATTATCTGTAATGATCTTAAAAGTACTTTGAGACAAAGGATAACATATAAACAGTGAATACTTTTCTGTAACATAATTAAAGCTTAAAGTAATCAACATTATATTATCCATATATTTTCATTTATAAGCTTTAAGAAGATTTATTAATAGAAAAAATAACTACTTAAGCCCTTAAAATATAGCATAGAGGCTATAGTCAATAATATTGTAATAAATGTGTATAATGCCAAGTGAATACTAAACTTATTATGGTGATCATTACATAAATTATATAAATGTCTAACCACTATGCTACCCATGAATCTAACATAATATTGAATGTCACCTGTAATTGAAATATATAAAAGAAAAAAATTAAAATAATTAACCCCTCATTTAGAGAATAAGAACCTATCTTTTAAATAATATTGCACACTAATCCTTTTATGTATAAAGAAAACTAAATTAAATAAAAGAGCTAAATAAAATGAAAATGATTTTTACGACAATTTGCTTCATATTACTCTTCAAACATAAAGTTTAAAATGCCACTCCTCATGAGACATCTCAAGTCTTCTTCTGTTGATAGTGGCAGAAGAAATTGAATAGAAGTCTCCTTCAAACTGAAGAATCATTATAAAAACAAGTGTACTCCTAGAGATCTAGTTTGGCTGATCATAATACACACACACACACACACACACACACACACACACACTTATCAAGGCCCTGGCTTGCTTAGTGGTTAGAGCATCAGCCTGAATGCAGAAGGGTCATGGATTCGATTCCTGGTCAAGGTCACATACCTGGGTTGCAGGTTCAAGTCCCGGCCCTAGTTGGGGCATATGCAGGAGGCAACCAATTAATGTATCTCTCTCATATCTATGTCTCTCTCTGTCTGTCTGTCTCTCTCTCCCTCCCACCCTCCTTTTCATGCTCTCTAAAATTAGAGAAAAAAAATATCCTCAGGTGAGGATTACAAAAACAACAACAACAACAAAACACTTGGCAAGAATGTAAGACTATATCATCATTTTATAGAAACTGATCAAATTTAAAGCTTTCTCCATGAAAGTAAGAATCAAGGAGACTTTCTCTAGCCTATTTCATTGATTTCTGTGACCTAATAAATTTATGTGCTATCAAAAATAATTTTAAAGTACTAAATTAGAGCATTATAGTGAAAAAAAATTTATGGATAGGATAGTAATAAAGCTATAGATTACCACACAGAAGTAAATAACATTTATACCAACATCATAGGCTAAAGTCTAACCTGGGTATAAATTTAACTCTATGCTTTATACAGATAGAAGATAAAACATGACAGTAACAACACTCATCGGTCCAAAAGAAAATAAACCGTGATAAACGGCTGACAGGGATTTGTTAGTAAAAAGGCATCTCCAACAACATATCCGTCTCTGTTACAAAAGGGTGCTTCATGCAATTTAAAACACAAAAACTTTCAATGCAGGTTAATGACATCACATTGAGTACAAATTTAGTTAACGCAAATCTGTAGGGGACTAAAACAACTGGGACCAAGTCTGCTTTGTGTTAGGGGTCAAATTTAGAACATAGAGAGTGAATGGCACGCTGGTCAGACTGTGCTTCATATGGAACTGTTGCAGGTTTTTGCGTCATCGCTTCGGGATTGGACAGCAGAGACCTCTCAGTGTGATTAGAACACGACTCGGGAATGCCTTTTTTAATGAAGGCCATGAAAGACCTAACCTCTGTTTTGACACTCAGTTGGTAAGGGTTAATGGTCTTTTGCAGAAATTAAGTCATTTATTAAGATCCTACCTGAATACATTGGATTCATGTGCTATTAGTTTGGAGGAGGGATGAGGGAAGACCTTCAAGAAATCTACCTCTGTGAACAGTCTGAATTTGCTTTCATGCGGCAGTAACTAGACTGTGGTTGCAATCATTTTTGCTAAAAATTTTTTTCAAAGACAGCATTATAAGTACCTACACACATTTAACAAAAAGTCATGAAACTATCTTGGTAAAGCCCCTGCACTACATAAATTTTCAGCAATGTAATTTTATGATGGTAGCCTCAAAATATGCTAGATGCCAGTAGCAAACCCACAAAACAGTGATTATATCTGATGTATGGAACCAGTGATGGTGATTTTGATGTTAATCTCAGAGTAGTCGGTCTTCGTCCATTTTCATGGCGACAGACACCATCAAGAGCAGTCGTCTGCGGAAGCCATGTGCAGCGCAGGCTATGAAAGCATGCATGTCACCAGTGCAGACCAGATGCCAGCCTGAGTCATCTCCACGACAGGAGAGTGCGTGTCTATCAAATTATTAACTCAGAGTTAATAACAAGTGTTAGGGAGAGTGTGAAAGGCTGAGAAGGGTATTGCAGAAACGTTGAAACTACATAACTATCACCTGAGAAGATGTTCTAAAATATCATCAGAGACTGCTTGACCCATACTATATCATTACGATGCCCCAACTGGGAATTAGGAGTATATACTGAACTTAGATCACTCATTCAGTAACCAACTCCCGACCACAAAATCATAGCAAAGGAAAAGCAACCAGGCAAACAAAGAAGAGAACACCTCAGTAAAACTAGATTGCCTGTCTTTAGTTTATGTTTTTTAGAATGTGATGCATATGATATTTATTGCCATTTTGCAATAACTGAGTCTCAACCCCACCTGTTTGTCTTAAAGACCATAAGCATGAGAAACTGGGACTTATAATTTTTTTCAGGCGTGAGCAGGAATGCAGTCCCCCCACCACAAATTATGCAGTCGAGTCTCCCCCATTTGGGCAAGTCGCAGGGGTCAGCTCACCTGGGGTGCCATGGATAAGCCTCGCCCAGGGAAAACCACCTTCATAATCATGGTATCTCCCCTGCCAGGTAAATATTGGGACTTACAATTTTTCAAGAAGGAAACTGTTATTTACAAAATAAAAACAAAACAAGTTATGTTATTTGTGAGTTCTAACAATTTTCTTTAAACAAAATATTAAAAATTTACAGCAGTGATGTGGTATGAATCATTCCTGGGATATTTTTTTTTCTACTCAAAATGTTTACTGTAAGTTCAGAATAATGTATTATGCAGTAGAATGCCATACGTATAGGCAAAAGATTTTAAATAGAAAACTTACCTATTAATGAGAGTTTACAAATTGAAAAGTCTCAGAGCCTATAGTCAAGAGCAGATTAAGCAATTTTGTTTACAGGGCAATTTTATTAATTTGGTTATTAGTATTTACACTATTAATGGGTTTAGCAGTCAGGTACTTATTCCATGATAAGAAAGAAACCTTTACTTTCTATTTATCCAGGTGGGAGAAATTTTAAAGCAAAGTATAGGCTGATTTATTAAGCCACACAACATTCCAAAGGCTTTAGAGAGCTGATATACTTAGAGAATTACAAGCAGTTCAAACTATTCTTGATGTCTAGTGTGTAAGGTGATATGTGAGGATCCGTTGGGCTGATCTACTTAGAGTCTTGTTTGCCATAATGGAGAGTTTGGGATTCAAATATGGAATCACTGAAAATATTTTAAATATTTTAATATAGTTAAGCAGAAAAATATTTTGTTGCATTTTTGAAAGTAGGTCCAGGAAGCAGAATGGAGGATCCATGGAAGGGAGGCAACTTAGTGAGCATGCGACTGGACCAGTCCTGGGGAACAATAAGTGAGGGTGACCTATAAGGAGCTACAGTTGGGCTGGAGCAAAGAAAAGGGTTAAGAACATTAAAATGGGCTGCCTAGTCCGGCCGGTGTGGCTCAGTGGTTGAGCACTGACACATGCACCAAAGGGTCACCAGTTCGATTCCAGGTCAGGATACATGGCCAGGTTGTGGGCCCAATCCCTAGTGGGGGGCACGCAGGAGGCAGCCAGTTGATGTTCTCTCTCATCGATGTTTCTATCTGTCTCTCCCTCTCTTTTTCTCTCTCTCTATAAAATCAATAAAGGGAAAAAAAAGAAGGTGGGTTGCCTAATGATGAATTTGATATTCAAGATGAGGCAGCACTGGTCATGACCCTTGGGTTTCTGTCTTGGGAAAGTTGGGGGATTAAGGTTCTAGTCACAGAGATAAGACAAATAGGGGAAGCTCTCCTTTGGAATTTAGAGAAAGAGAGAGAATGATGAGCTCAGTGCACCAATTCCGCAGGGCTACTTCTTGAGCTCCAATCATGAACTGCTATTTCAGAGCCATGTGACATGGGAAACGTACCTAACCTCTGTGTCTCAGGTGCCCCATGACAATAGTTGTAAGAGTAACCTGATGATGTCACTGTGAGAATTAAATGAATCCACACACGACATTACCAATAACTGTAACCCCTTCATAATGTCAACTCCATCTCCCAGTTTAAATTCCTGGGTCAGTCCTTATGATCACTCTCATGCATACACTCAGCTCCCTGAGTACACTCTCCTTTTATCATAGCTGATGAACCACAGTCTCTTTAAGGTAGTGCTGGGTTTCGTCTACTCCTGGAGCTGGAATGGAATTGGAGAACAATAACTGAATATGATGAGAAATACAGTCATCCAAGCTTATGGGTCTGGTCCAACATTTACAATTATTAACAAGTGACTGTCCCATGACCCTCCATCAATCCATGATATGTTCTTGAACCATTAAGCCTCCATTTTCTAGGTGAATGCCGTGTACCGTCTTCCCAATTCTGAACATTTCATGTCTTATACCATCCTTGCTCTCAGCAATGACCCAGTTCCTATCACTGAAAAAAACTGAAATGTCATATGTTATTTTTCCACTGTCGCCCCCCCTCAACACAGAGGTAGGTTATTCTTTTTAATGTAAGTCCAATCTTCTAATGGCTTGCAACTTCATTCTGAGTAATTACTAATAATCTTCCCATAATCGAAACACTGTGCTACAGAACATGAAAATCGTATGACATCGTTGACTCCTCTACTATTCTTTCCCTGCTCGCCCAGGCCCTAGCCTCCTTGCTGTCCTTCAGCTACGTCAGGTTTCTCTCACCTCTGTCTTTCCAAGTCCTGGAGGATCCCGTCTGTGACGTCTCTCCCCATACAGCCACCCCGGCGACCCCCCACCTCTCACTCTTCACCCAACTATCCCCTTGCTGAACCCTCCCCTGACCACCGGCTTTATCACAGCCCCAGCATTTCTTCTCTTGTCCTGTTTTCACGTTGCTCTTCACATGTAAAACTCAACCAGTATTTTCATATGATTAGGTGCTAAATCATTTACTTGGTGCATCGTTTATTTTCTATTTCATCCCACTGGAATAGAAACTCTATGAAGGAAAATATTTTATTTAACTTTTTTGCTATTTTCCCTATCTATAATCCTTTTTGGCACACCCTAGACACTCAATAAATACATGTTGAATGAATGAATAAATGTTGAGTGTAGTTGCTGGTATAGTGTATGTGCTCAGTAAATAAGTTACTTACTTACGTATTTACTTATATAAGTTAGGATTACAGTAAGTAATAATAATGCATGGGGCACATGAAACAGCATGAGAGCAACAGGCTGCAGTTTTATAGGTTTGAGAGTCAGAAAAGGAGATGAACTAAATATAAATTAACGGGGTGATGAAATCAACTAGATAAACAGGATCCCACTGGGAAAAGTAGAGGGAAGAAGAAGTTAAGGGTAGAAAGCTGTGACATGCAAGGGTAGAGGACAGAGAAGCATCAACAAAGGCCAGGTGAAGTCCTGAAATCCAGGACAGATGCTAAGGAAGCTTCCACAGAAACGGAAGAAAGACCAGGAGGATGTGATACAAATAAAAACCAATGAAAGGCAGAAGTTGAAGGTTGAGATGATCACTAGTGTTGAATACTTCAGAGTAGATAGTACCAAGAAAATGATAAAATAGCAAACAGTGAGATACATATCATGATTAAAACTGCAGTACAATTTAGTGATTGAAAAATAAACCTTCAGAAACAAAACTGTCTTAAAAGCAATAAAAGCCTTTGCAAGATTGATAGAAGAATATTCATATGACACACGTTCTTTACCTTCGATTCTCTCAAAGAAAGAAAGGATAGAATGAAAAAAGAATCCTGCTCATGTTTGACTTTATGTAACCAGAAGTTGACACTAAGTGGGCCAAAGACGTAGTCCCCTGGCTCACAGAATTGAGGAGAACTTACAAAGGCAGCTGGATGACAGGGTGTCATAATAGATTCTTTCTCAGTTAAAAATGTGAGCAAGAGCTCATCTAAACTATAGAATCACTCCACTTTTTAAAAAGCAAAAATATGTACAAATTCTACAAGTCTTCTCTCTTTAAGAAAACATTTTAAAAGCATAAAAATAACACCAACATTCATCTAAAATGAAAAGCATTTATACATGGCTCTCATTAATTTTAATTAATCTTATTTACTACAGGATGTCTAATAAATTTTACATGAAGAAAGGAGAATTCGTTATTGCTAGCCTCAGCAATGTGGAGATATTTTCCTTCGCTCTACCTCTGTAGTTTGAGAAAAGAAAAAATTTAAAATATATTTTAAATAAGGACATTTAAAATCCAACCAGTATTTTATAGATAATTACAAACTGAATCATAAGTGGGTACAAATTGAGTAATTTGATTAATTTCTAAGTTGACCTTTAGAAAAGTATTTGTCTAACATTTCTTAGTTGTATTTTTATTCTAGCAAACTGAAGTTTCAGCTACTTAATGTTCATGTTGTTTTTAAAAACGAAAACTACATTATGGATATAAAATAGTTTGTTCTGTAAAATAACTGTTTCATTTCAGAAACTCTTTGGATTTTGAAACCTATTATGAATCCCGTATTATCTTTGAGTACCTGCTTCTCTTTCTATCAGGGTTTATTCTTTTCAGAGTTCCCTTGCCTTCCTAATGCATTTTTCACTTGTGTATTTAATGAACTAAGTAATTAGTTTTCTAGCATATCCATTTATTGTTCACTAATAAAAAATAAAATACTCCTAATGGCAGTACATAGCTTTCTTCAAGGTACGTGTACTCATTCTAGGTAGCCTCTGACTGAAATGAGATCTCAGTATTGCAGATACACAATGTGCACCACCAGCAAAATTCTGCACAGGAATAAATTCATTATTCTGAGAAGCCAGATCTATAAAACATGTAAAACGTAGACGAGTTCTGCCTATACAATTTCTGGTAAGTTCAGCATGACTCAGTGGCAGAACCTGAGTCAGCGTCAGTTAGGTGTATCTCACTAAACTTCGCGCCGTGAAGGAGAAAGGGCAGACAGCAGGCAAAGGTGTGTGCTCCGAAGGAATGAGAATGTTCTTTCCACACCATTCTGCTTCGATCAATGGACAATCAGCTCTGGAAGCATTCAGTTGTAGAGTCTCCCAATTAGTCACAGAGACCCCAAGATAGAGCAGCATGAGGAAAAAGGAAAACTCACCAGTACCACGGGACAGATTGTTGTGGGCGGTAAAATGTGGTCCTTCAAAGGTCCGCAGTCACACTCGGGTTTTAGATGAGAAGCACATTTATTATGCAGCTAGGGAAGGAGAAATGACACTGTCAAGTTTCTCATGACAACAGCCAACACAGGACAGATTCCATTGCACCTCGGATACAGCAAATACCTTCAAGGTGCATTAACAGAATTACAGGAACAAACAGCTTCATAAAGAGAAGCAAATTATATTTGCCCTTACATATCTACCTTAAATACACCATTCGGCAATTATCATGACCCAGCCTGTATATTTTCAAATTCTCAGAAATGTTTGTCTTCGAATTGTACTGTAGGTTTTACACCAGAAAAGCCTGATTTCTTTGACAAACACACATTATTGGCCATTGCAGTCCTTCCTTAGCATAATCTTGAAACCACTGTGCGCTGTGGAAGATTTTTTTTTTTGACCCTCCTGTTTTCTCAAAGTCATTCCAAAGTGCACAGCTCAGTATGGGGCATAATTGATCCCATCATTAGTTTTAACTTTGTAATTCAATATGTAAATGTAACCAGAGATTCATCTCAGTAGGAGCAGGATATAAATATAAGAAGATGATTATCATTATAAAAATGTATCTTTATATTGTATTTATAAGCTCTACATTAATTTAGTGCATAAGCATACAATGTGTTATTTACTTTTCAACATACATGAACCTAAACAGATGCTTTTATCAATGTTGATCACAAGTTTAAATTGAGGTGTTATAACACAGTACATTAAAAAATGGTTTTTTAAAAAATTGAGGTGGTAGGTTTTAGTGGAATCACACAGATCTGCTAAAATAAACAGTTGTTTAAATGTATCTAGGGATTTCTCCCACTCCATATCAATTCAATACGAAATATCATACTTTAGAAAAAGTACACATGTTAATAAAAATGTCTCTTTCAAAACAAAAAAGGAATTACATCATGTTTCAGTTTTGACTCAAAAGCCCCTCATCTTAAGTCATGGTTAAATTAAACTTCACAATAAACTCACCTCTGTCACAGTTCATTAGCAACTAAGGATCGGAGTATAAAGAGTGCTGATTGACAGTTGGTGACAGAACTCTGCTGAAGGGGCATTTCTATTGTCCTTCATCTCAAACCTCTCCAGGCTAACTCCCTGTCTTGGAGATAAGGCGACTTGTACTGCAGCCATGAACATGAGGCGTCAGCATACGAAGTAAAAGTACCTCTACACATCCATTCAGAATTAGCAGCTCTGCTTGTGAGCATGTAAACTCCTTAAAAAAAAGCGGTTCAATCTAATCAGGAACTGCTGATCTTTGTCATCAGGCAAGAGGTGCTGAAGATAAAGAAACAGTGGGAGCCCTGGCCAGTTTGGTTCAGCGGTTAGAGCATCGGCCTGCGGTCAGGAGAGACCCGGGTTCGGTTCCCGCTAAGGGCACGTACCTCGGTTGCAGTTTGTCCCCGGCCCTGGTTGGTCGTGCGGGTGGCAGCCACTCGATGCGTCCCTTTCACGTCGATATGTCTCTCTCTCTCTCTCTTCCTCTCTCTCCCTCCCACTCTATCTGTGCAAAAAAATGGAAAAATATCCTCGGGTGAGGATAAAAAAAAAAAAAGAAAGAAAGAAACTGTGGGAGCCATAGGGAAAAACAGAGCTAATTAAATGAACACTCTGGTTTGGCAAATGCCTATTTTCTTCAAAATAAAAATTACTGACTGGTTTGAATAGGTTATTAACTTATTGTACTCAATCAATTTTTTTAGAATAAATCACAGCCCTGGAATTGTGGATTTAGATAGAATGGATTACCAAGTGCTGTGGTTGAACTGGGTCCCCCAAAGATAAGTTGAAATCCTCACTCCTGGTCCCTATGAATGGGAACCTCTTTGGAAATATGATCTTTGTAGATGTGTTCAAGTTCAGACGAAGTTATACTGGATTAGTTTGAGCCCTAATTCTTATAGTAAAAGAGAAATCAGGACACAGAGGGACAGACATGGAGGGAAGAAGGCCACGGGACAACAGAGCTGGAGATTCGGTGATGGAGCCATGAGCCAAGGAATAACATGGACTGCCTGCCACCACCGCCACAACTAGGAAGACAGAGGCAAGAATGACTTCTTCTCCACAGCCTCCGGAGCAAGCATGCCCAGCTGACATTCTGATGCTGGATTTCTAAAATCCACAACAATGGAGAGAACACATTTCTGTTGTTCACGCCACCGATTTTGGAGTATTTTGTTATGGTAGTCCTAAATAACATACCAACCAGTGTGGAAACCGTACCAACACCAAGGACCGACTGTGCCTTCAGGCTCTTCCGTACCATAGCATCACAGAGAAAAGGCTTTTGCTTTTTGATCCTGCACGGACTCTTAAAAGCTGAGGATGCCGACTCTAAGAATCCCTTAAAAATAGCAACATCCAAGATAAAGTTCTTGTGTGTACAGGGTGATAAAAGTTCTTGTGTGTACAGGGTGATAAAAGTTCTTGTGTGTACCGATTTGTCATCCTGTCTGCAGTTGCAGAGCCTCACATGTGACTATGAAAGACAGGGGCAGGGCATTCTGAATTCTTGCCAGAGGTGACCACACATGACCAGTCTGAGGGCCTCAACCTCCTCCCTGTCTCCATTCCATGTGTTTCTAACAATTAGCAATTGATATATTAAGAAATGACAAGCCTAGCCCTTGTCAGTTTGGCTCAGCAGTTGGAGCGTAGTAGGCCTGTGGACCAGAGAGTCCCGAGATCACTTCCCACTAGGGGCACGTACCAAAAAAGAAAAAGGAAATCATGAGCCTCTGTATAATTATTGGAAGGTTACTACATGTAAAAACAAATAGTAAAAAAATAAATAAATTTATTAACAGCCTTTTAGCATTTAGACTACCTTCCTAGCCAAAAAGAGATAACAGAGGACTTGGGTAGAGTCATATGTTTAATGAGCCCAACAGAGAGGGAGTGTGTGTGTGTGTGTGTGTGTGTGTGTGTGTGTGTAGGAAATAACTTCCTACTGGGAGCTGAGGGTTCCGAGTGTAGGTCATGACAATTGGTCCCATGAAATACTGATCTCTGCAGAGCTAAATGAAACTAGCACCGGATTCTCCAGTATGATTGTCACGTGGCACATACCTGTGAGTTTTGTCAAGGCAGCTAAGAGGCAGAATCCTGCAGGAATACACAAGCATGTAGCATGTTCTACAAGGTCAGTAACCGTATCATCATCAGAGAATCAGGAACACACACACAAGGAAATTCTCCTACCCAAGAAGTCTATATTGACTTATAATGTAGAAGGATATCTTTCACTTTTATTAAGACTGAAACTCGCAGCTGCTGAATATATTTGGGGTGGCCATCTACATCATCACATCATTTGCAATCAGGGGTGTCAGAGCTGAGAGCACCACATCAGAGCTACATTCTACTTGCTGTGAGTCACATTTGTGTAGTAGGTCTAGTTTACTCACCACATTGCTCAGAAACATGCTTGAAGACGAAATAAAACATGTGAACACCATTGAGAAAACACTTAGAGTTCCCAGGACTATTTGAAAATGTGAAACGTGAATGTTATTTTTGCTGTGAAGTTAAAACTGCTCTAAAAAATAAACCTCTGACAAACCTCAGAAGTGGGGAGCAGGGCAGAGGGAAGAGATAAACCAAAGAACTTACATGCATCAAAGAACTTATATGCATATATGCATAACCAATGGATATAGACTACAATGCTGGGGGGGGGGAGCAGAATCGGGAGGAGGGTGTCTAGGGGGGAAAAAGAAGAAACATCTGTAACAAAAATAAACTAATTAATAAAAGAATAAATACAAAATAAATGAATAAATAAAAATAAAGTCAATTTAAAAAAACAGCAATTAACAACAAAATAGAAACCATATATGAGAATTTAAAAGGTCTCCTCCATCACCCCCACAAAAAATCTTAGGTTACTGAGAATGTTCTGTTTCTTGATCAGATGCTAGTTAACACCGGATGTTCATTTGCACAAAATTCTATGAACTCTACCCTTAAGATATGTACACTTTTCTGCATGTGTTTTTCAATAATAATTTAAAAAGATAAAACAGTAAACATAACTAGCAATGAAAACAAGTTGCTTTAACTTGTCCGATGACATTTTACAGACAAGATAAAGATATATGTAAGTCCTTCTCAGTGTCAGTAAGGTACTGAAGACTGATAATTGCCTTAAAGCTAACCCAGATCCCAATTCAGCAAAAGTGTAAACACAAATATCCTCATCAAGAACAGAAATTAGCCTGGCTAATTTGGCTCAGTGGTTGAGCATCAACCCATGCACTAAGAGGTGGCTGGTTCGATTCCCAGTCAGGGCACATGCCCAGGTTGTGGGCCCAATCCCCAGTGGGGGGCATGCAGGAGGTGGCCAGCAAATGTTCTCTCTCATCCATGTTTCTATCTCTCTCTCTACAAATCAATAAAGAAAAAAAAAATTTAAAAAAAAGAACACAAATTAACTAGAGCATTGATGAATCCTGCCTCTTCAATAAAATTGCCAATGGAATTCCAGAGAAATGAGATTGTTCTCTCTTTTAAAATATATTTATGGCTGGCCAGTGTGGCTCTGGATTGAGCATTGTCCCATGGACTGAGAGGTCCCAGTTCAATTCCTGGTCAGGGCACATGCCCCGGTTGCGGGCTCGATCCCCAGTAGGAGGTGAGTGAGAAGCAGCCAATCAATGTTTCTCTCTCATCGATGTTCCTGTCTTTCTCTCTTCTCCCTTTCTCTCTACCCCCCCCAAAAAAAGTCAATAAAAACATATTTAAAAATAATAATAAATTAAAAATAAAATGTTTTTATATTTGTTCAGTTATCTTTGCTTTTTCTCAGAGTAAGATAACAATCCTTAGGTCATTATTTTATGTACAATATTTCCATTCATGTTCAGAGAATCAGTCCCACATCTAGGAAATCTATAAAATATAAGCTAGCTTTTGCTGGAAGTGAATTAAACACTTGGAAATAATTTCAGAGTTTATGGCAATTTCAAATAGCATCTAATTTATAGCCCGATCTTCTTGTTTATTGGGGAAAGCTGTCTCA